TAGGGAAAGGCGTATTCTCAATTAAGGAATGGTCAGGGAAGCTGGGGGCAGAAGCGTGTTACTTGTAAGTGATTTCTTTTCCTTTGTTGCAATGATTCTCTTATGCTTTTGAGGCTTCACCAACTCACAGGATAAAATATTTCTGGCTTAATAAACCATCATACTGCAAAGAACCTTTTTATTTCACAAAGCTTTTGACCAGGTTTAACCTCAGCTGTGGCCTTGCTGCTTTTGGATCTGGCAGCACGGCTGTAATGAAATGACAATGAGCTATTAAAGTGTGCAATTTTCTTGCCTATATTTCACATTGGCGTTCTCCTATTTGTTGGACTGGGCTCTGTCCCCTGTTTAGGGCCTTCTGGGGAACTGTTCTATTGTGTTTCCTTTTGTGTGTTGTTTCATTATAGAGAACCACAATCCTGTTTTATCAGAAGAAATGGGAAACCATTTATCTTAGCAGCTAACTAAGTGTACTTGAGGTTTTCAGGAATATACAAGAGGAACCTGTTTCTATTGTTTATTATTTTTATTCCTGCAGTGCCCAGGAGCCTCACTTACCAGCCCTGATGCTAAACAAGGTGCTTTAGACAAACAACAGAAAGATGATTTCTTCTTTAGAGAGCCTGACTCGAGTGCAGTGCAGAGCCACGCAAAAATACCTCACCTGGTTTTGAACAAGCTTGTCTGGGCACTGGAAATGTAAGTGGGCTAGCACTGTGCTTGGGTATGCTATGCGTGTGTGCTGCATTTGTATAGATATGCTAGAAGCCAATCCCTAGTTCACCAATTTGCAGTGCTGTATTGGGCTGAGTAAATACCCTCAGAAAGACAGCGGGGGAGTGCAGGAGGTGACAAATAAGCAATTTAAAGGAGCAGTGAGAGGCAGAGCAAGCTTGAGTTAGGATCAGGGCAGCGATGCTTACTACACGCTCAAACTTAGAATTTTGATTTCCCCCCTCTTGAAATAAATACTTCTAGGAGGAGACATGAACCTGGCAAGCAAGAGGGTAGAGAATGATTTGAGAAGGTCAGGCATCATACCCAAGAATCAAAGGGCCGAGTTGAACATCACGTGGCTGAGGAGTTCTTGCTACCATATTTCAACAATGTGACCATGGTGTACAGGTATAGACAGAAACCCTCTTGAAAACCAGTTTGTTGATAAGAGTTAGGATATTTTTTTCTGCGACTCGTTATTTTTACGAATTGCCTCACCGTATTTGGGATCCTGGACACTTACTGCCTGATAAGGAGAAGTCGTTACTATTTATAATTTGGGGTTTTATTACTCACACTCTTATGATGTTTAAGTACCTCTGTAAGAAGGAATGTAATATGGAAGATAGCATGAACTGTAAATCTAATGAGAGAATTGTCATACAGAAGACTGTGTGTATGTGCTCTGCAAGACTGTGTTTTGTACTGTTCCTTTTAAATTACTTGTTCAAGGAACTAGCAAATTATTGACTGTATGATCAGAAGTGGCTTATCAAAGGTTCCTTTAGAACAGGCTGTAATGCTAATGAAATTTCAGTGCTAGCGAAAATGCACAAATAAACTTTTAGGGTAGTCAAAGAAGTACATTCATTAATTTGATGGAAACTTTAGGAGCCTTTCTTAAAGGTATGTCTCACGTAGTTTGAACTGTATTAGACTGTTGTTAATTGTGTATTGGGTGAGGTAAGTCTACTTTTGTCTCCTAACCGTTTTCTCCATCACTTATTGTGAAATTTGTAAAAGCTGCACGATACTTTCTCTGAGTGCTGCTGATTTCGTTTACAAAGAGCAGAAGCCGTACTACCTTCATCTTTTATGTTGTACTGGCAGCCAGTGAATTCCAAATTCAAACCTTTCCATAATTTTCCCAAATATGGCATAAATGGACATTGTACATAAAAGAGCCATTGCATATGGCTCCTGGTACAAAGAGTATTACAGTAACAAAACTGCCCCAGTCATAAATTTATGTGAATGGTAACCATGTGTCTCTGAAGGCCTCCTGTTTCTCATTCAAGTTAAATGTTACTGTATCAATACTTGCCAGATCTCTTGCACTCTCATGTCTCCATAATATTTTAAGCCTTTTGATGCCTTGCAGTTTTTGAAGTAGACATATTATTTTTAAGATCCTTAAATTAGGTCATAACAAAAATATTTCTATTTATCTAATCCCTGTGTTCAGACTGCTTGGTGTACTGGACCATGTAATAAAAGTGGAGACATTTAAATGGCTTATTTCACTGTCAGAAGAAAATGCTATGAAAATCACAATTTCCCTTTAAAAACTGAAGCCTTCTCAACTGACTGAGATGTGATGGACTGGCCGAGAATGATTACACACCCTTGTAGGGTGTAGGATTTGTAGAGCTAGTGAGTCAGTAGTTGGTTTTTTTTTATTATTATTTTTAACAAAAAAGGAACCAAAAAACAAAAAGAAATGATCCATGATTTCTGCAGCTCATGGCTACTACTGGTCTTGTGGTGATCTCATATCAGTTTTCTGGGTGCTTTTATCCAATTTGGGTTGGAATCCTGAAGGCGTGCAGTTGTCGTCACTCACAGAGTGAATGCACCGCTTTCATAGTTTTCCTAATTACACAGACCATCATCATAACAGGTATTGGTTATATTGGGTATCCACTGGGCCAAAAATATCAGCTCACCTTCCTTAGTGCTTTGAATTGTCCCCTTGTACATGGGGATGGTGTCCTCCTCAGGTGAGGATCCTCTCTGCAGGTGATTGAGGGCAAACAGTAGGTTCCCTCATCACTTTTGCTAGAGGCTCCAGTCTTACTGGGGGCAGATGATATTCACAACTCAGACTCCTGGTACAAGCTTTTGAGGAAATGCTTTGATCTGGCACAATTCTCCATTTAATGTCACTTGAGTCATGCCTGTTTAGCTAAGAACTTTTACTCTTTTGAGTGGATCCTTCTGACTTGTCTTCCAGTTGGATTTACTTAAAGCAATCGTTAAACGACAGCCTACTGCTCTTAGATAAAGCTCATGTTAGGAGGCAGTGGTCTGATGAAGTATTTTGTCTGCATCCTGCTTATTTCAGAATAAGCAGCACTTTCTTGAACAAAGCCTGACTGTACTCAATATCTATTAAAAGCACCCATTAGTTTAAAAAAAAAAGTAGTAGTCTGCTGGAACCGCATAATCTTCTGAAACGTCTCAAAACTGTTCTAATGCTGGCAGCCAGCATAAAACCTTTGCCTGATGCTTATCTGCAGAACACAACAGGCATGACTGCTTAACTATTTTCAGTCAATTCAGTGTGCTGCACATGCAGAACTAGAATCAAACTATCACAGTTCTGCTTTGCTTTCCAACCCCAGCTGCTGCAATAGCTCTGTCCTCTTGTCTTTTTTGCCCTCTCAGATATTTAGAATAAAGTCCAGCACCTCTGTGGTTCAGCTCTGATTTTTTTTTTTTTCTTTACGGTTGCAATACTCTTCATACTGGAGAAACCTGCCCATATCATTTTAATCAGCAGGTGTTTCACTCTTATCTGTCCTGATCGCTTATTTAAATAAGCAGCTGTTTTGGTCGCATTCTGTCTGTTCATAATTCCCATATACCTGTCAAGTTTTCAGAGCAAACATGGATGTGTTCTGGAAACTTTCATGGGAATTAATCCCAGAGCTGGTGCTCTCCCATGGGTTGTTTCTTTCAACAGCTCACTGTTGCCGCATGTCTTTCTACCTGTCTGTCTCCCTTCAGTTGTGGTCTCTCTGTCCTGAGTACATATATATTTTTTCCCCCCTCCCTTTCTTTTTTTCTCCCCTCCAAATCCCAAACTTTACCGGTCTTCTCTCTTAGTTGTACTACCATTGCTTGCTTAATATGAAGGTGATGCCTCTACAACTTCCTCCTGGAGAACAAGTGAATGTTACAATAGCTGAGCTTTCATTTATGCCAGTGGCAGAATACCTGGTCCTTTATTTTGTGTAATTTGAATGGGCACATAATGGATAAAGCTACGTTTTTCAGTGCATAGCTGGAGCAGAAGAGGAAAGTCTACTGTCAATTTTTATTTTTAGTCAAGGAAAATGCTCTAACCGTAACGAAAAATAGGAAAAGGTGCATAAATACAGAAGAGAAATACAAGAGTCCTTTAGAACGAGAGAGAGAAAGACGATTTCTGGCTTACAGGTAACGCACTGGGATTGTGCATGCTCTCACTGAAAGCAGGAGGGAACGTATGTTGACTGAGAGATTTTGAGGCTAGTGGGGCCGTTAATGGTATTTGATATGACCTATATTAAATAAAGTTTTAAAAAATTACTATATGACAGTAGAAACTGGAATAGCATATGGTTGGAAGCTTCCTTCTCTAGGATCTTTCTTGTCTCTCCCTGTCCTGCCTCTACGCCATCAATGTTTGGTAAAAGTGGGGAAGCAGAAAGGGAGAGCGCTCCTTGGTGGACAAGATTCCTGAAAGCTGAATTTGGAGGGATACATTCGCACGAAAGTCAGCCAGCCTATCCACATCTTTTCCTGCGCTCCCACGAGTTTTCCTCATACATTCCTTTTTTGTTGTTTTTGGTTTTTTTTTAAGCCCAAGTTAGGTGAAGATTTGATCTCTTATCTTTTTAATCCATCTGTTAGGTCTTAATACATACCCGCAGAATCAAGACACTCTAGAATTAATGTATCACCACCTGGTTTAAATTTGATTTCTTGCATTTCTTAAAGATTCTTAAGGCTTTACTGCTATCATTATACTTAAAATAAATTGTTTTCATTGGACATGATAATATTTGAGATGATACACTAGTTAATTGTTTAAATTTGCACTTAGGCAATCATTAAAATGAATGCTATTTATATTATGTAATATTATAAACCACAAAGGCACTATAGTCTATTCTCTAATTAAGAAACAATTAAAAATACAAAAACTCCATTTCTTAACATCAAATTTTAAAAATTACTTTATGCTTTCAGTTAGATGTTTCTGAGTTGCAGCGTAGCAGCTCAGGAGCAAGCTACAGGAGCAAGCTCTTCATCCCTTTTGAAACTACTAAGGGTGTCTGTGTTGGTATTTAAAAAATATACATTCTTTCAGTCTAATTCATTATGGAGTTAAACTTCAAGGACTTTTACTAAAATCAGTTGCCACATTTCTAACATGATTGCAATGTGTAGTCCTCAAAAGGCAGAACACTGCAGTAGTTCACTGGCACTTTTTCAGCCCCCCCGATAGAAAAGTATAAAATGTCTTTCATATGTAATTTGAATAGCTTTCTAAGATACTTAGGCTTGGAGTCTGAATTCCTGTGCAGACCAAGCATTTATATTGGAAGGTAAGACTCCTCCCCAGTATGCTTCATATTTGACCAGGCGCCACGTCATGCACAGGGTAAATTATCTGTTTTTAAATTCACCTCAGTTCAACGTTTTAATTGTATGTTAAAACACAAATAGCTAGAGGCCCAAATAATTCTTGTGGTGAGTTCCTAGTTGTTTACTTTATAGTTGAAGGAAACTGCCTAGAGTGTGGAGACTATAAGAAGATGCGAGACTTCATGGACTAAAGTCAGAAGAAACATATGAGTTCACCCCGAGGCTGATTGTTTCATTCCCTCCCTCTCTACCTTGCGGAACACATGCATCTCAAATGACGTTTTGATTTAATCTGTTGTAACATCTGTTGTAGTATTCCTTATGTTCTGGTACAGGGTTTTTGCCCC